CTCTTTCACTGAACGCCTGTGTGCCGCTGAAAAATGTTAAAATTCAAATTTCTGGCTACTCCTGATCCGTGTTGTCCGTTAACCCTTCGCTATGCCAAGCGATATTTTCCAAGTTTTTATGTAACTGGTTCTTTGCTAGTTTTTCTTCATCGAACGCATTCGCCGTTGAAAAATCGTCAAGATTTGAATTGACTGTCCATTTCTGATGATGTCCGTTGACCATTCGAATTTTAGCCCAGTCGGCATTCTTCAACAAAAATTGTGTTTTTCAGGATGGATACGTCAGCTGTGGTACTTTCACCGACAGGTAGGCATTGAGACTTTGTTTTCTTGTATTGTTTTTCTTTTGTTTTTGTTTTTCCTTTGTTTTCTCCCTTTTTATGTAGTGTGAAGCTTTTTGTATTTATGCAGTGATTTTTTTTCTTGTTTTTCTCTGATTCGAATCTGTTTATTCAGCACACGTATCGGGTGTGGAAATAGTCCAGTGTGCTGACTGTAGTGCTGACGATCCTCAATGGGCCTCGATTAATCGTGGTGTCCTGATATGCAACGATTGTTGCTCTGTTCACAGAAACCTAGGTATATAGCTGATCATTGTTTATCCATTCATTTGTAAAATGTTGTTTGCGTTGTTGTAGAAGAAGCAATTCTTGAGTAGAACTTCATGGTGTTGTCGATTTTTGAATCGCGTTGTGTGCGACACGTGCCTGTGATTGGTCTTCTATCCAGATGACCAATCACAGGCTAATTAGCCGAAGATACAGGGCAATGAAAGTTACTGAAAGTTCTCCTATTCGAATGATTTCTAGGAATTGTTCGGTTTCAAAGTCGAAATCAATTTTGTATTCTGACGATTCAGCGAACGTTTTTATAGGCCGACAGTACTCACAAGTACGCTCATTAAATCGAGGGATGTGGGATACATCACAGCTGGAACTCGTCAAGCTGCTTCACAAGTGGTTCTTCTTTCTTATTTAGCTCTTTGTTATCACAACCAACGTCGTTTTTCTTCTGTATAGTTTCCTTCTACGTACAGAACTGGTTCTAACCGTGTGTGGGAACACGCAATGCTTCGACCCTGCTTCTTCTTCGAAGTTCAAAAGGAAACCATTACCTCAGTGAGTTTCGTTTGCCTGAATTCATGACTTCTACTGTGAGGATGTCTCAAGTCTATGACTACTTCATTTCAATGGTTGAATGGGTTTTTTCTTGCCTAAATTGGCATCTTGAATGCACCTGTTACCGTGGTAACAATATGCGTCCGGGTTAATAAATCCCCATCTGGACAAATATTAAAAAAAGCGATCTTATTTTTATTATCCTTCGTTTTGAGATGTTAGTTTGTAACTTTCATCAAGGAATGGGCTGCAATGTGCAATCCAGAGTCCGGTGATGGAGAGGGTGTACCATTTCGTTTGTGCAAAAAGTCGTGCGTTTAGATGTCTGTGGTTCTTATTACCCTTCCCTTTAAAATGCCCCTTCTTATTGGAATATGCCCTTGAAGGACACGATTATGAGTCTTTCTCACCGGTCGGTCCCTTTTTGGAATGATAGACATAAAACTTTCCTTTAGAATCATAGTGCTTTGTTACATGCAATGGTCTATACAATGGCATAAGCGAGCCAGCCGATGTACAAGTAAGCGTTCTTGTCCTCGCAGACGAATGTAGTACCGGTTTACCGTCCCCGGAAAGTAGATTCTTAGCCTGAGCGGGAGCCAGGAATGTAACCACAGACTGCGCACAGTAGGCGGGCCACACTAGACCACCCACCTTCGTCTCGGAGTAAAATTATTTCGAGCGCCCTGTTTCAGTTGACTATTTCTCTTCTGCACTGGAGTACAAATTATTTCGATGAATTGTTTCCGTTCTGTATGATGTCAAGGAAAATTTCGGACATTACTACAAACTTTTTTTGCTGTCGTTGTTGTTACCTGCTATATTTACAGTGATCCAGTACTACCTACAAAGGAAGCCTTCATTAAGGCCAAATATGTTGATCATGCGTTTATCCGAAAGCCCAGTAAAGATGATGAGCCATGGAGTTTAGACGATGTAAATAAACAGCTGTGGTCTTGTGTTCGTACAGCACATGTGGATACAACGTTGAGGTTAGTTGTTCTCAGAACTTTCATGTTGCGCCGCGGCCGCACGCTCAGTGGTCACCAACTGTGGCCACACGCTGATCCGCTACCATTTACATCATGGAAATAATACTATTCACAAGTCAAAATGTTGTCAGTTTACAACTAAGAGAAATAAATTTTTAACAAGGGTTTGCTTTATATTCTAGTATGCTTTATATTCATTGGTTTGATGCTGTAATTGAAGAAAGGAAGACGGTAGTCTCGATCACGTTTTTCTATGTATTCCGGCTACCGGAAGCTGTGAAGGAGTCAATTTTCAATTACCATTTTATTTAGGCTTTTAGCGATGGGAGCCGACGTCAATTACGTGGACAGCGAGAAAGGAAATAGCCCACTTCACGTTGCGGCGAAGGAGGGACAAGCAATGCAGGTACTTTTCGGTGGCTTCTGCTTTTCTTTGCAAGTCATCAGGAGTTTCCTAGGCCTTGCTGTGACTGCAGTTCTTGTGAATATCAACTTTGCTGGCCATTTTGTAGCCTTACGCACGTAGTATAGTACTTTTTAAGACCTGCAAATACATATGAAGGAATAGTCCATTCCTTCTGTTCAGCCTTTCAATATTCAATAGTTATCTCTCCTAGAATTCGCGAGTAACTGACTGCGCTCTGATGCTAGTTACTGGACCGCTGCAACTCGAATTCAATAATACCTGCGTTAAATTTCTGTTTCATTTACTATTTAGGTTACATCACGTCAGAACTGTCAACTTTAACACATTGCAGACCTGCGTTCTGCGAGGATTTCCGCATCTTTTCGTCACTGTTTAAATTGATAATCAATACTTTCACCCGTTTTTTTTCGTATGAGAGATGTATTCCAAAATCTGTTCCGATACTTAAGAGTATGAAATAGATGCCAAATGGACCATGTGTGTCACACGTTCTAAACTAATCGTAGACAAATAGTTGGAATATGCTTTGCTCTAGATGTGACTGAATCTGAAGTTGCAGTGGTCCAACAATTAGCAGTAGGGTGCCGCTGCTCGGCTCAAGCGATCATTCGAATTGTGATGAGCGCATATTAAAGGCAGCGTCCGCGATCAACCAAGGTGAAAAAACCCTGCACTGTACAAGATCGCGGAGTCCGCAACCACAGCGGATATCCCACTCTTGCGGCTCGAAATCGATTGATTGACGAAGGCGGAGTCAACAATGCTAAGCTGACGCCGCCTGTCCTGTTAATCCCGCCCCGACTGGTTAACAGTTATCAATCCTTGCTGGCTTTGATAATCGCTAAATTTCTAGCGTTCGTTTCGTACACTGATAGAGAGATTAACTCATAGACAGATCGATTATCAATGCCAGCGTGGATTAATTAGATTAGATAAGATAACCTAGGTAGTGGCCTCATGAGAATTAGCCGCAACGAGGCGGCGACGTGTTTTGGAGAACTCACCCAAAATCTGCGAAACTCGTCCAGATGCCTTAAATCGAATAGGGTCTTATTCCATGTTCTTGCAGCCTTTTTCCTACTTTTTTTTGATTAATGCTTCACTTGCCACCTGTTCTAACAAATCTGACCCCTAAGACCTGCCAAAGTCGATCGCGAGCGCTGTCTTTAAGTTAAGCTGTGTCTGTCAGTTTATATTTCAAACATATCCTATTCGTTTAGGTAATAGGACTTGTAATAAGACGTGTAATAGTGCTGTAGTAGTACTTATTTCAGGTGGAACTTCTGTACATTTATGGTGCTGACCCACTGTTGTGTAATGCTGCAGAACTCACTCCTGCACAACTTGCTAGATTGGATGGTTTTGTGAGTATTATTCTTGGTTTCAAAAATGGTACTACTGGGTGTATGTTGTAGTGTTGAGTCGCAGTGCAAGAGGCGTTGCAAACAGGGTCATTCGTGGCAGGGCCCAATCATTTGAACGTGGCATAACTGCATCGTGTCGAATCAAGTAGTAGGAAATGCTCTATTAGCCTGCATGCGACGCCGCGACTCCTTACTAACATACACACGAAGCGCTATTTGAATGCTAGTTTGTTCTGATTATCTCATTTCCGCTTATCAATGTGGGTCAGCCTTGTTGTTTGTAGACTGACCTCGCTAATCGCTTGGACGAGTTATCGTTCGATTTGACCAACAGGTTATCGCTGTTTCTTTGTGGTCGAAAGCCAGATCATCAGGTGAGTCATATGTTTTGTATTTACTTTGATTCCTTTACTACAAGTTTACATGGTCCTATAAGTTACTGGCTTTCATCGTTTTAGCCCATCTACTTCGATTGATTGATTGATTTTTCTTTTTAAGCACCAACAGCACTTCTTAATTCCTGAGCTCACGGCCAAGAATACGGTTGAAACATTGCGATCCGTTAGGTTGAAGATCCAAGCGCTTCCTGATTGTGCTTTCGAAAAGCTACTCCAAGACGTTTATGATGAGGTAAGTCCGAGCCACAAGTGCATTTTGTGGTGCTTTTGTCGTGAATAATCAGGAACATTTGTATAAATAGCGCGAAAGTGTGGCGTTTTGTAGTAGAGCGTCAGGGCATTTGGAACCACGTCAATTTTTTTTTCCGATTATAGAATGCTTGGGAAAGCATTACCCATGCTTGCACCCACTCCTTTTTGCACCGAGGGATCAGTTCATCGAACCATGAGCTATTTCTCTTTTGGGTCATGGCGATAGTATTCATCTCCTTGGCTTCCGCAATAGTCTCTTCGCCATTTTCGGCACATAAAACCTGATTCGCTGCGGATGATAGGGCGTGTCTGCGCTCGGTTTGGCGCACCGCAAGCTCTCTCCACCAGTTGAATAGAGTACCAATTGGTGTAAAGCAGCTGATACGAAGGGGATCATGCAGGCTCTTTGCTTACCCAAGTGAAAAAACGGGCTAATGCCGTACTAAACCCATCCTAGTAGCGTCTTCTGCAGAACTGGGATTTCCCCAGTTCTCCCGAGCTGTCGCCCCAAAATGTCCCACCGTACTGAAATAGCGCCACATATAGATATTATGAATTATTGGTTCTGATTGAATTGTTAAGGTTGATCGCCGAGAAACTCAAGCAGCATGGATGGCTATGAACCAAGGCAAAATAACCTCGGGCAATGAGCAGTGTGTAGCAGTTTTTCTCCCAGTTAGTTCATTTTCTTCTCAGACTCTCTCTTACTGCCATCATGAAATGCAGTTTTTCAACGGATTCTCGTAAGAGAGTGGTTTCATTAAGCGTAAATTACACACACTTTCATTCAGTTGAATCCCTCCTTTTCTGCTACAAGGAATCAATTACGGCAGAAGCTTGCTAAGTACGACGTCCGAGAGTTTGCGACACTCATCATAGATGTACTGAAGGTATGGTTATACTAGCTTCAAGTTACCAAGAAGTTTTTACAAGGTAGTGGGAATAGTGGGCCTAATTGTACCGGCTTTTTCAATATGTTAGTTGTTTTTCTACATGAATTGCGTACAGAGGCATTTTGGTTCAGAACACCAAAAGTATGCAGAATCACTACAAAGATTTCCTCACTTTATGAACGGCCGAGAACGCTTTGATGTCACTCTGCGGGGAATGGGTGGTAGGATTGCGATGAACTCCGACGGTGGATAAATTGAAGCACACCTTGAACCCTTCTTTTTTAATACGGCCGGCCATTTTTTTTTTGGGAAAGAAAGGAAGAATTCGATGGCGCGAACAAATCTTCATTATAATAAGTAACTGAAGCAAGAGATATTGATTGGGTTGAATCTCCTCTCGCTACCAGGCTTCCGTCCCGCGAGTGATGCGTTGGTCCTCTTCAGTAGCTTGACAGCGCTGTGGCTGTCACGATAGCCAAAGAACGCCGCCCCTGGAAAGTGCCCCACTCAGATGGGGTTATAATATGTCAGCGATCCTCCATCTATATTTGATAGACGCAGCTGTGATGTGCTTTCATTATGGGTAGGACCTACCTGAGCTCTATGGGGTCCGCATACTTTGTATTTCTTTTCTCGCCTCGACAGCCCATGTATCGTCCTTGCAAACATACTCCGGTTCTTCAACCTTATTTAGTCCATAGACGACTTCCTGGGTAGTCGTGCAAGTCTCTTGATAGGTCAGGTCACCAAGAACCCGAAAGGAGTATATCTCGGCCATGGGGATGTAGTAGAAGTACTAAGAAAGCTATCTGTTGTCCACCTAGCTGGCATTTTAACGGGTAGTTCTAAACAACGAATCTTTGAAACGTATAACTCATAAACTTTGAGCTTTTTTCGAAATAGGGCTTGTAAATGGTTAATTTCGGCATTGTTGAAATGAAGAACTAAGAACCGTTGAGAAGTCCCCTATTTGGTTTCCATACATACTGAAAATAGGCCTTATAAATCTCAGGACTTCTGCACTCTTTTTTCCACTGGTGATTAAACTAGCATCTAGAATTTCAAATTTGAATCCCAACGAGCTACGGTTCCGACCCTTGAACGTGTCTATGGATAAAATTCATTGCAAAATCGGGTTGCCGTAATCCGACTGTTCTCTGCTATGGTTCTTTGCTTTTCTATTACGGTTATTCTTTCTCCATTGTAAGCCATCTTCCAGCTTTGTTGAATCCTATTGTATTGCAACTTTTTCGGAATTTACGGTTCCATTTATTTTTTTTCTCTTTTTATGGAGCCATATCTAGGAAGCCAAACGAAGGTACTTCGGTCTTCCTCTCGAACCTGCACAGGACACTTTCGACACCTCCACTAATCTTCACAATATATCTAGGTGACCATTTTGATTTAGGTTTTTCCGCAATGGTTTTGTCATACTGAAGAGCAGTTTTCAGTAATACGCGAATGGATTCTAGCGAGTTCAATAGGGATTACGATGAAGTCGCCGATTTTTCTGGTAGGAACAGGTGAACTTCGAAGTAGCGGTGCGACGAGGTAGTTTATCCTAGTTTCTTTTCTTTTGCCATGGATGCTTCATAAATATGTGATAATTGTTTTTTTTACAGGAGATCGTCCGGTAACAAAACGAGATCGACGTCTTCTATAGATGCTGCGATCGACGGGCGTGTATCTATAGACGATGTGCTAGAGTTGAAAGAGCGAATGACGGAGAACGAAAATAAGCTAACTTCTATCTGCCATACCAATACGCAAATTATGAAGTATGTTTACACTGTACGTGTACTACATTGTACCGTAAAGGATTCCTTTTGATGGAAGGAAGGAAGTG